TTTTCTGTGGATCGGGGAATGTCAGCATAATCATTCATTTTTCGCTCTTGGGGTGAGAAGTCACATGGCAGCCCGGGGTGGCGTGCGCGCGCTTGTCGTGGCACGGGGGGGGAGGGCGAATGATGCAGAGCAGATGGGTGTTTGCACATGGCGCCTGTTCTTGATGTGTGACTGACTTAATCCTATGGTTGCCCTGGTTGTTAGGATCGAGCGATATGGCTTTTCAAGGCATCTTGGCGAGCCTGACTCGTCAAGAGCAACCTCAGCGTCAAGGCCCGCTGACGGACCTCAATCGCTGGTCCCTTGAGGTGGATCAAGGGCGGCAGGTAAGCATCCTTCAAAAGGCGTCTTCACGTGTGTTTGGCTCACGACTATCGGGTCTGGCATAAAGGTGTGGCGGTACTTGCCTGAGGCGAGCATCAAACAGAACCCCGTCGCATCTCGCTATCATCTGGGCCTTGACATCTCAGACACTTGTCCTGGTGAGCCCCTTCCAACGACAAGAACATCGGATCGCTCGTTTGTCAACTTTGTGCACATGCCTCACACTTTGCTTGGATATCCATTTTTCCAGATCTGCCTGCTGCATCAACGCCTGCCGATGCGCTGTCCAATGGTATCAATTTTTTTGGTAATCTTCAGACGGCTGACGGTCACTGGGCGGGTGACTATGGAGGTCAGAACTATTTGGATTCTCATCTCATTTCTGCCATATTTTCGGCCAAAATAAAGTGGCGGTGAATCAACGCGGCCAGCTAGACATGGGCAGAGCTGCCAGCGGGATGCGGGTTGTGAGATAGTGATCCACTCACTATCGGTCTTGGCGTATTTACTGGCCTCCTCGCCCTCATCCTCAAAATTCTCTTCTTGGTGGCTTTCTTGTCTTCCTAGGACCCATGTTTTTACTGCCCGGCTTTGCTATCGTCATGTACGTGACCAAGCAAGTGGTGTCTGAGCCCTTGCGGCTGGAGATCATTCGTTACCTCACAAATCTGCAAACCGATGATGGAGGCTGGGGCATTCACATTGAGTCGACTTCGACTGTCTTTGGCACCACTCTCAATTACATTACGATGCGTATTTTGGGCATTCCGGCCGACGATGAACGAATGGAGCGTGCACGAGCCTGGCTTGCTGCTCGAGGAGGGTAAGTCGATCTTCCACCTTGATGGCGCGTGTCTGCTTGCCCATTCATCTCTTTATTCTTGACTGCTCTTTTTGGGTCGCATGTATGGACGGTTGTCCTGCATCCTCAGCTGCTTAGCCATCCCCTCTTGGGGCAAGTTTTGGCTAGCTGTCTTGAACATATATTCTTGGGACGGTTGCAACTCCCTTTTCCCTGAGATGGTGCTCTTGCCAAACTGGTTTCCGCTACACACTCGACGAATGTGGTGCTATTGCCGCACCGTGTACATGCCCATGAGCTGGGTTTATGGCATGAAGTTTCAAGCTCCGGTTGATGCATTGATTCAAAATCTTCGAGACGAGCTTTTACCACAACGCTTTGACGAGGTTTGCACTGCTTGTAATGTAGCTTGCTTTTTGTTCTTGAATGTTGGTCTTTTTTGTGCTGTACATAAGCTAATTGTCTGCCCATGTTACAATTCCCTATTGGTGTCGTCTTAGATTGATTGGGCGTGCCAACGCAACAAGGTCGCGGAAGAAGATTTGTATACACCACACTCTTGGGCGTTGCGCTTCTTTTATGGCGCTTGCAACATTTATGAGCGCATGGCGCCTCGCTGGTTTCGCACGCGTGCACTGAATTGGGTGTACGAGGTCCTCCAATCGGTACATTTTTTGAAGATCTACGCATCTCAAAATTTGACGATGCCTTTGAGCACCATTGATTCACCTGCCGTCGCGGATTCACGATCGTAGGAAGACGAGTTTACTCACTACATTTGCATCGGCCCGGTGAACAAGATGATTAACATGCTATGTTGCTGGTATTAATCCGCGCGTTTCAGTCAGTTTGCTTGCATTGAGTGATGCGGATGCTCAAGTTTGACTTGATGGCTGTGGCAGGATTCAAGAAGGTCCGCGTGCCTCCCGTTTTAAAAAACATTGCGAGCGCGTAAATGACTACATCTGGATCGGGCGAGATGGGGCTAAGATGAACGGCACAAACGGATCACAGGTTGGTTCACATTTTTCGTGTATTTATATAACATATGTGTGTATGAACCACTATCTTCCCGCAACTGTGTTTCCGACTGGCTCACGGTGCATTTTGTGGTCATCGAGTCAGCTATGGGATACAGCTTTTCTGGTTCAAGGTCTCATTGAAACTCCAATGCGCGAGGAGTTCAAAGTCGTTTTTGATCGGGCCAACAAGTTTTTGGACCTCTCACAAATTCGTCATAACCACCCAAATTACGAAAAGTACTACCGCGACGCAACGCAGGGTGGTTGGCCCTTTAGCACGCGTGACATGGGCTGGATCGTTGCTGACTGCACGGGCGAAGGTGCGTCTTTCCCAAGATAACAAGCCAGCCGACCATGCTAATACGCCAATGAACCTTCACTTTCCTAGGCCTGAAGGCTGCATTGATCTGCAAGCATTTTAACTTGACAGACAGTCCACTCAGCGATGCACGCCTTTATGATGCCGTGGATTTGCTTTTGGGAATGCAAAACCCAACCGGAGGCTATGCAACTTGCGAGAAGACTCGTGGTTCAACTTTGTTTGAGTGGTTCAATGCATCCGAGGTTGGTTGCGGCTCCATCATTGGCACCCAGTGCGAGAGCAAAGGCTGCATCACAGCCTTTTGGTTTGTTTGTGCAGGTGTTTGGTGAGATCATGATTGACTACGACTATGTTGAGTGCACATCGTCATCTATTCAAGCCCTCGTCAAGTTTCAGTTGTACTATCCAAATTACCGTGCTCAAGAGGTTTCACGCGCTATTCAAGCGGGAGCAAGGTTGGTGAATACCACCCACGCATGTATATACTTGTATGTGGCATGGGTTTCTTCAAGCAAATGCTGCTCTGATCTTTCTGTTGTAGATTCATAACAAGCATTCAGCGATCAGATGGATCTTGGGAGGGCATGTGGGGAATTTGCTTTACCTATGGAACTTGGTAAGCCATGTGACTGTCAGAAGAGGTGTGTAGAAGCCAAACATCACACAATATTTTCTTTCACTCGATCCTCTTTCCTTATCAGGTTCGCAATTGATGGACTCGTCGAAGTTGGCTTTACATACCAAGATGAATCCATTCGCCGAGCGTGTGACTTCTTGGTCAAGCACCAACATGATGATGGAGGGTAAGCGGTGAATTTGTGCGCGCATTCCAAGCTGAGTCCAGCACTCACATGATATGTGTCTAATAGATGGGGGGAAACCTTTTTGTCGTGCACCACTCGCTCGTACAACGATCATCCACACAGTCAAGTTGTGAACACAGCATGGGCGCTCCTTGCTCTCATGAAAGCTGATTATCCAAACCAAGCCGTTGTGGAGAGGGGCATTCAATTTTTGATGAAGCGACAACTTGCCAATGGAGACTGGCCTCAAGAATCGATTTGCGGTGGGCAGCTCGTATGCATGTACCAAGCGAACAAAATAAATCTCATCAATTTATGTGCAATTACGCGCGTCGACACAGGAGTCTTCAACAAGAATTGCATGATCAGCTACAGGTTTGTTCACCACCTTACATTGAAAAGAACACAACAAACGGTAACAGAATGAACAACTCATGCGCACGTTTGCGCTTGGTACACTACCAATTTTAGTAACTTCAAGAACATCTTTCCCATTTGGGCGTTGTCTAGATATCATGCTCAACACCTGGACCACTAGCACTGGCGGGTGAGCCGGCATCCATGGCCATGGATCGACGACTGTCAACGGCCATAAGACCCCAAGGATCATACTCCATCCAATCCATGCTGCTATCCTGAAAAAAAGTACGGCGCCGGCGACGCCAACACGCGAGAAGAATCCAACAACAGCAGCAGGCACACACCAATGCAACAAGAATAGGAAGGATCCAAATCTCTGGTCCAGAGAAAACATCATCATCACTCAATGCGGCCTCTGTACTACCAGGCTTCGAATCATTGACATACTGCAAGTCACCGCTAGGATCTGTAGTGGTGGTGAACTGATCATCGATAGAAAACGATTGATCGGTGCTACCCGGGCCACCACCAACGGATGACGTCGAAGTGGTAGAAGTTGAGGTAGTAGTACCCGCTGCACCAGAGTTTGAAGCTGAAGATGATGAGCTAGTCGATGTGTGAGACGTGCTGGAAGTAGAGCTGGTCGAGCTGGTTGAACTAGTAGAGCTGGTAGAGCTGGTAGAGCTGGTAGAGCTGGTCGAGGTGGGCTCTTCAGTCGATGTGCTCGACGCGCTCGACGTACTAGAAGTTGAGCTGGTCGAGCTAGTAGAGCTGGTCGAGCTGGTCGAGCTACTAGAGCTCGGCTCTTCAGTCGATGTGCTCGACGTACTTGACGTACTAGAAGTTGAGCTGGTCGAGCTCGTCGAGCTCGTCGAGCTAGTAGAGCTGGTAGAGCTGGTAGAGCTGGTAGAGCTGGTAGAGCTGGTCGAGCTGGTCGAGCTGGTCGAGCTGGTCGAGCTGGTAGAGCTAGTCGAGGTGGGCTCTTCAGTTGATGTGCTCGACGTACTAAAGGTTGAGCTGGTCGAGCTGGTCGAGCTAGTAGAACTGGTAGAGCTGGTCGAGCTGGGCTCTTCAGTCGATGTGCTCGACGTGCTTGACGTACTAGAAGTTGAGCTGGTCGAGCTCGTCGAGCTGGTAGAGCTGGTCGAGAAGGTCGAGCTGGGCTCTTCAGTCGATGTGCTCGACGTGCTTGACGTACTAGAAGTTGAGCTGGTCGAGCTCGTCGAGCTAGTAGAGCTGGTCGAGCTGGTAGAGCTGGTAGAACTGGTCGAGCTGGTAGAGCTGGTCGAGGTGGGCTCTTCAGTTGATGTGCTTGACGTACTAGAGGTTGAGCTGGTCGAGCTCGTCGAGCTAGTAGAGCTGGTCGAGCTGGTAGAGGTGGGCTCTTCAGTTGATGTGCTTGACGTACTAGAGGTTGAGCTGGTCGAGCTCGTCGAGCTAGTAGAGCTGGTCGAGCTGGTCGAGGTGGGCTCTTCAGTCGATGTGCTCGACGTGCTTGACGTACTAGAAGTTGAGCTGGTCGAGCTAGTAGAGCTGGTCGAGCTGGTCGAGGTGGGCTCTTCAGTTGATGTGCTTGACGTACTAGAAGTTGAGCTGGTCGAGCTAGTAGAGCTGGTCGAGCTGGTAGAGGTGGGCTCTTCAGTTGATGTGCTTGACGTACTAGAGGTTGAGCTGGTCGAGCTCGTCGAGCTCGTCGAGCTAGTAGAGCTGGTCGAGCTGGTCGAGCTGGTCGAGGTGGGCTCTTCAGTTGATGTGCTGACG